CAACAACTACGACTGGTCTTCAGCTGCGCTCCCCGGTCTGCTGTATTCTCCAGTCCAGAGCTTCACTGCCCAGTGTCTGAATTTTAATTTATATATTTATTTATATGTATATTTACATTTTAATGATTTCTTGTTTGCTTTTCTTGTTTGTTTACCCTTTAGTTTAATTATATATATATATATATATATATATATATATATATATATATATATATATATATATATATATATATATAATCTAAACATATACTCTAAACATATACTGTTTGCTTATAATTAGATGTGTACTGTATGTATTAAATGTTGTGAAATATATAATAAAAAGTTTGATTATATTCATTTGTGTGTTATTTTAAACACTTTAAAGTTTACACATGCAATTGTTAAATTAAATAGGAAAAATAAATGAACAATATTTCATATTAAGCAATACTGGAAAAGAATTGCTGCTTATCCTGTATTCTAGGCAGTATTGATAAACTGCCACAAAAAATATTAATACAAGTAGTAAGAACGCCGCCTCGCGGTTGCTGAATGTCGCACGACAACGTTGCTACAGCCTTCTCACGTCTTACATTTCTACGTTGTGACAATGTAGCGAGCACGTAAGCGGCAACGTTGCCTTTGAAAAAATACAACGTTGTGCAGACATCGCTACAACGTAACTGTGTTTGTTGGGAACTCACTGTGAGAGTTTGCGCGCCAAATTATTTCCCGCGTCTTGACCACAAGATGGCGTCTAGAGCTTGTAAATTTCAAATTGCAATGTTTTTAAATTAAATAAACGTTTGTATACAAGACAGAAACCAAAATCCTTCCTTTCGATACTAATAGAGATTGTGAATTTTCCTCACGGCAAGTTACTGTCGGCCATGTTTGACAAACGCGAGAGAGCACTAATGTAAACCACTGGAAATCACAACAGAGGAAAAACGGCAGTTTTAAAGTAATATCTCTTGAAACATCTCACAAACACGCAAAATAGGCTAACGTTAATATTTAAGTACATAAACGCTGTTTGCATGTCGGAAAAGCTGAAAACATGCGTTTTGTATCCCCCTAACGTTACTGAAAAATAACCAGCCTAGGCTGGTTGCTGGTTTTAGCTGGTCGACCAGTCTGGTTTTAGAGGGGTTTTTGCCATTTCCAACCTGGTCTTAGCAAGTCAGGGTGGGAGATGTTGGGCTGTTTCAAAACCGCCCAAATTTTCTCTAGCCACCTATGTCATTTTCTGCAACTATGTCCAGCTTAAACCAGGATGGTCATGCTGGGTTTATTTGGTCATTTGCAGCCTGGCCAGGAAAGACAAGGCTGGAAATTACTGGAAACCAGCCTGGAAATGGCTGAAACCCCTCTAAAACCTGGCTGGTCAACCAGCTAAAACCAACCAACCAGCCTTGACTGGTTTAAGCTGTTTTTTTTTCAGCAGGGCCAGCAGTGAAGTGTAACTCAAGAAGCCGAGAAGAAAACATTTCCATATGATTTTCTTCATTATTTGTATTGCGAGCACAGTACTTTGCAGCTTGTTGATCAGTGCACGTGACGCAAAATCAATGGAAATCAATAGGAATCAGGCTTGTTCTAAATATATACCTTGTTCTGTGTAGACAGCTCACTAACTTCATTCACTCCATCAAGTCAACTATATTAGTGGACTTTTGTATAGAATAGTGAATGAGGGGCAGTTTTGTATACAGCACTGTAAAAAATGCAGGGTTGCACACAATTTGTTCATGCATGTGCCAGCACAAATTCATTAAGTTAACCTAACTAAATTCATACATCAACATAAAACAATTAATTTTCCTCCAAAAATCCATAGAATTGTTTTTGTTTCAGCTTATTTTAACTAAGTAATTTGAAGCTTCTTCATTCATTCATTCATTTATTCATTCATTCTCTTGTCGGCTTAGTCCCTTTATTAATCCGGGGTCGCCACAGCGGAATGAACCGCCAACTTATCCAGCAAGTTTTTACGCACCAGATGCCCTTCCAGCTGCAACCCATCTCTGGGAAACATCCACACACACACACTCATACATTACGGACAATTTAGCCTACCCAATTCACCTGTACCACATGTCTTTGGACTGTGGGGGAAACCGGAGCACCCGGAGGAAACCCACGCGAAGGCAGGGAGAACATGCAAACTCCACACAGAAACACCAACTGAGCCGAGGTTCGAACCAGCAACCTTTTGTATATCCTGATTTTGTCGAGATCTATACATTCCTAGGGCAACAAGGGTTGAGCTTATGATAAAAAGGACGGAGTCATATTAAAACCTAAGCATAGACTGAAATAAAGACTTAGACATGGAGTATTTAAGACAGAATTACTCACTTTAATTTCAAGTGTTATGCAGGCAAAGATTTATTCTTTTTTTTCCTCTTTTTGTTTTTTTTTTACCCATTAACATAACACGCTTGTACAAAGTTATTTTAAAAATATCAATAAACTGCAGCCTTTCAGGCTAACCTGGCAAAAAACCCATTATCAAATGCCATGAGGACAAAGGAACATCTTAGAAAAATGATTTACAAATGAGGTGTCACTAGAAAATATTAAAGAAAAAAAATCGGTCGCCACAGAAAATATTACCAAAAACATCTATTTATAATTGTTTGGTATCAACCATTTCTTTTGAAGCTTTTTTTTCCCCATTTCAAACACGTCATGGTGCGAAACGTCATAAATTAAAAGCCATGGTTTTACTTCTAAAAAGGACCACGTTTAGAAATAACAGATCGTTACTAAATAGAGATCGTTAGCGGAAATGAACCATGCAGCACGTCATCTCTGCATTAACAGCGCACAATATACATTAGCAAATACTAATAGAAGGATAAATAATAAATTAGACACACACATACACACACACACACACACTCACACACAGGTGGCATGTACTCGTGCTGTGTGGGAACCAAAAATGGGCCTAAGAATGAAACGAAAACCAGAGCGGGAGAACATAAAACTCACAAATAAGAACGCCACATTACAGATTTCTGAACATCAAACTCATCGAAGAGGCTTCAGGGTGTGTTTTTTTCCACTCTGACATGACCTGGGAACGGTGTTACACCGAAATCTGCCCCCCTTCTGTTGAAAAACCTGTTCTGATGAAGCTACAATCAAATAACATCAGCATATGCTTGGGTTATATGTGACCTTTTAAACCTGTATTTGTAGGGACGGTACATTTAAGTGAGACTTTGTGTACTTTACTTTTTGTATTTGATACTTTCAAGACTATAATATGGACTAAATATAAACACAAAACCTAAATATCTTGAATAAAAGCTGACATACAATATAAATGACAGAGTTTAATAGTAATAAAGTAGACTACCTTAATGGGACGTTTTCTTAACGCAATTTCTGTAGGTCAGTTGGACAAAAATGAATTTAAATTCGAGGCCAACGTTTTAAATAATGATATTAAGCACACATTGAAGTCTCGATTCAATTTTTAAATCAATTTGCACCATTTATGAAACTTCAAAGTGTACTTTAATATCAATATATAATCAATATGCAATGAATATAATTCAATCTAAACCTACAGAAATAGCTTTAAGTAAATGTCCCATTATGGTAGCCTACTTAATTACTATTGAATTCTCTTGTTTATATTTGTTGTCAGCTTTTATTCAAGATTTTTTTTGGTTTTGTGTTTATATTTTGTCCATATTATAGTCTTGAAAGTATCGAATACAAAAAGTAAAGTACACAAAGTCCCATATAAATGTACCGTCCCTACAAATACAGGTTTACAAGGCCACATATAAACCAAAATAGAGTTATTATTTGATTGCAAGTTCATCAGAGCAGGCTTTCCAGCAGAGGAAGTCAGATTTACATAGGGTCTGTGCATGGGACGGGGTCGAATCTCTTTGGAGGACGCACGAAAGTCAACAGGAGGACACTTTATTGACATGGGTCTGGAGGATCTTGACCTGGGCTGAATTGGATCATCGTGCTCCAAACATGGCCACAGTGTTCACCATCGTATATATAGAAGAAAAAAAAAAAAGATGAAAATGCGGTCACCTGGGCACTACTGCACACGAAAAAACATGTCTGAAAAACAGCCCCGCGTCCCCCTAAAGACCCAGCCGTAACGTAGTGGTACTGCAGTGTTTGTTAAGGCATCGGAGTACAGTTTATATGACTTGAGATAAGAGAGAACTTCTCTAGGTGTTTTTTTTCTTCTTCTTCAAACCTATTCTACCCCTCGGTAATGTAAACATGGTTTTACAAAGATTGTCTTTATAGTATTGCTTTCATTTGTTTTAGAAAGCTAGATTGTTTTTTTTATTATTATTTTTTTTGTTTTTTAATTTCTAAACTGGAATGCATTGTTTGTAAATCTAATGTGCTTTTCTTTAAATAGCCCGTCTCTAGGATCTCCTACATAAAAGTTCAAAATCTGCACACGATGAATCATCGAACGCCAAATATATAGATATATATGTATATATATAGGTATCATTCTGTACGCGAGGCTGTGATTGGCTGACGCTTCGCGATGCTCCAATCAGAAACGCCGTTGCTTTTATTTAGCTTGTGCTGAGGCTCTAAATGTGTACTATCTGTTAGCTAAGCCTGATCGTATGCAAAAACCACAAACCAACGAGATCCTCGTCCCAGACTGTAAATTCAATCCATAACCACTTTGAAAACATACATATATATCATTTTTGTGCATAGCGACATTTTCAGGAGCATTAGGATACTTTTAGTACTTCTTGTGCTACTCGAAATAATTCAAACACCGCTCGTTTATCGCTCATGTTACGTCTCTTAACAGCTCATACTATTTCCATATTTCCTTTAGATTGTTATCATAATATTTGATAGTATTAAATTTCCATATGAAAAAAAACTAATCGAGTACGCTCAAACAGCGGTCCATCGTCGATAGAAAAAGAATGAAGAACGTAAAATCGACATATATAAACAAACAAACAATATCATGGTGCTTTAAGCCAATAATCTTTTTTTTTTTTTTTTTTTTTGGAGGGAAAACTACTCAAACTCCTCCTCTAAATTGTTTGAAGTGGTGGGCGTGGCCGGGTTGGAATCATGTGAGAGCGTCGCCACTGTAACGATCCTCGGCGAGCCCAACACCTCATCCACCTCCTCCTCCATCTCGTCTGTGGTGATGATGGTAAGAGCTGCTCCACCTTTCTTGTTTTGGTGGGTTTTGATGTGCTTTGACAGGTGGTCGCTCCGCATGAACCTCTTGGAGCATTCGGGACACTCGAACCTCTTCTCACCTGATTAGAACCAAGAAAATTGTTCATTTGATCAGATTTGAGCAAGAAACGTCACTACTTCTAGAAATTAAGACTAACTATTGGCAGTATAAACCAGATATTAGGGGGGTGCTATTGTAACGGAGGCCAGCTAGTGTGTGCTGTGCAGGTAAACCTCACTCCTCTAAAGGTGCCCTTAGCGACAGAAGCTAGGGGCCATGGTCTTTAGCCTCCTTGGTAGAGCAACTGACTCCCATGCGGAAGATCGCTGGTTCGATACCAGCTCGGAGCAGGTTGGGTTGGGTAGTGTAGGACCAGTGGGGTTACATTGGTGCCGTGACCCGGATGGGATTGAGGTTTAGGGGGGTGAGTGTAACGGAGGCCAGCTAGTGTGTGCTGTGCAAGTAAACCTCATTCCCATGCAGAAGGTCGCCGGGTTGATACCAGCTCGGAGTGGGTTGGGTAGTGTAGGACCGGTGGGGTTACATTGGTGCCGTGACCCGGATGGGAGTGAGGTTTAGGGGGGTGAGTGTAACGGAGGCCAGCTAAGTGTGTGCTGTGCAGGTAAACCTCACTCCCATGCGGAAGGTCGCCGGATTGATACCAGCTCGGAGCGGGTTGGGTGGCGTAGGACCGGCGGGGTTACACGATTAATTCAGATTCGATTTCGAATAAAGAGAGATAAAGTGATTATTGAGTCATATCCCGCCACCTTTTCCAGCAGTATGCATTTGTTCCACAGGAAAAGCTCAGTTTCACAAGAAAATTAGTAAAAGCATCTATTGTACTGTGACTTTTGCAGTATGGGACACGCTTCATTTATTGACCTGTATTCAATTTATTCATGTTTTTTAAAGCACGAAAGGGAGCGCATGCTGTTGTGTGGGCGTGGCCATTTTAAGGTAAGGCACTTTAATGCTGAAATACGTGCAAAAATGTGTCAAAATATGGCGTTTGGTGATTACTCCCATTAACCCCTGTTTGTTCTGAAGAAATAACTGAACATACAGAGTTAAGAATGAAACGGCATGTGAAAATGAAACTGCGTATGCAGTAAACTGATACTCTGTATGTGTGGAAAACTGTCAATGGAGATAAAAGAGATACTGTGTAAACTAGCAGTCACTTTTTAGACTTTTCTGGGAAAATTCCTGGTAAATTGACGTAAAGAGACCTTTTTTTTTAATTACAGGAAAATTTGTTCTGCCAATATACTGAAATGAGAAGTTACATTTAAAAGAGTATGAAAAACTATATTCAGAATACCTACTATATCAGGGAAGAATTTGAAGTGTGCATATGACGGCATGCTATTGCATGAGACCATGGGAGAGGATTTTATTAACGCAATTTATATTTGTTCATGTTAAAAACAATAAATCTTTTCTATTTGATTCGTTTATGTGACCTAAAATATTTATTTCAAATCAAAATATTATATCTGAAGTACTATATATATATATATATATATATATAAAACAATAGTGCTTCCTTGGTCTTATCCGTATTTCTTTGCACTTTAAACACACGTCGACCACAACAGGAAATAAAAAAACTGCAACTGCGTTAATTGCGTTAATATTTTTTAACGCCTTAAATATTTCAAATTAATCGCATGCGCTAACGCACTAATTTTGACAGCACTAATATATATATATATATATATATATATATATATATATATAAATATATATATATATATATATATATATATATATATATATATATATATATATATATATATATATATATATATAAAAATATATATATATTTTTTTACAATATGTCTGATAATATTTTATCTTCTGGAGAAAATCTTATTTGTTTTATTTCGGCTAGAATACAAGCTGTTTTTAATTTTTTAAACACCATTTTAGGGACAAAATTATTAGCCCTTTTAAGCAATATTTTTTCTCGATAATCTACAGAACAAACCATCGTTATACAATAACTTGCCTAATTACCCTTACTTGTCTTGTTAACCTAATTAACCTAGCTAAGCCTTTAAATGTCACTTTAAGCTGTATAGAAGATATCTTGAAAAATATCTAGTCAAATCTTATTTACTGTCATCATGGCAAAGAGAAAATAAATCAGTTATTAAAAATTAGTTATTAAAACTATTATGATTAGAAATGTGTTGATAAAATCTGCTCTCCATTAAACAGAAATTGGGGGAAAAATAAATAAGAGATCTAATAATTCAGGGGGGCTGATAATTCTGACTTCAACTGTATATATATATATATAATATTTATTTATTTTTAGTTTTAGTTTAAGATCAGCTTAAACTAAAACAGCTGCTACAATTCAAGTGAAAAAATCTATTTGCAATTTCATATTCAGATCTCTTCACATTGTTTTAATTGTTTTGTAAAACTAATCAAATTAAATAAAAATAAAAACTGAAGAATAAAAAAACTGATCACACCTGTTTCTTGTGAATTAAACGCAGTAACCAATCAGTTCACTTCTGACCCTGGTTGATAAAAACGCATTCATTTGTTTCATATGAAGTTGTTTCATCCTGCTGTGTGCATGTGTGTGACTTTAACGTCAGTTTCAGTCTTTGTGTGTGTGTGTGTGTGTGTGTGTGTGTGTGTGTGTGTGTGTGTGTGATTGTCACCTGTGTGTGTTCTGCGGTGCCGCTGCAGCTCGTCGCTCCGCGTGAAGCGTTTCCCACAGAAGATCCAGTTACAGACGAATGGTCGTTCTCCTGTGTGCCAGCGCAGGTGAGCCCTCAGGTGAGACGTTTTCCCATAAACCTTCCCACAACCCTCCATATGACACACATGCTGCTTCTTCTTTGACGGGTCGCTGTTGTTTCTGTCAGAATACAAAGGACGGATGATCAGAAAATGCTTTACCTTTTACAAAAATTAAAACCTATCGATGGAGGCGTCTTAATTTTATTAGTTATCAGTTAACAATGACCATCGATTAATTTTGCAAGCGATGCTTTTGTGAGAACTGCAGGAAAAGAGCATAACTGCTAATTCTCTTTCCTTATTCACCCGCAGTGCAACAAAAGAGCACGCACAAAATAAAGAAACCCAAAACTAAATTGTGTGTGAAAGAAGAACCTTATTTAATCCCTTCGTTTAATCCTTTTGTTTGCTTAAGTTTAAAGACACTAGCTGGGTCCCAAATGGCACACTATACACTATGCACTCATGCACTATGTACTTATGCACTTACACACTCAACAGGATAGTACATGTATGTAGTGTTGTCCCAAATGGCACACTAATGTTTTTTTACTAAGCGGAAATTCAAACCGTTTCCCTGATGGCGTTTGACGGTCGCCAAATCAGTGAAATAAACGACCGAATTATTAAATAATACCTGCCGTGAGTATAACCGCATTCACCATCGGGAGGCGCTATAATCACTCTCGTAGGAGAATTTTGCTTTCACCATCCAAAATAAATAAAAAGTTATCCAACATGTGCGCCCGATAGCTCCACCCCTTCCGCTACGTAAACAAACCTGCGGTCGTTGAGTGCGTGAAGTGTCCATCATTACACACTTCACTTTAGCGGCTGAATGAGTGCATCATCCGGGTAATTAAAGTGCTCTTATTATTTTTAGAGTTTTCAAATGTAAACGCACTGCTTACACTATTTATACTAGAAAATGGCGTAGAATAGTGCATAAGTATGCGATTTGGGACGCAGCTATAGTTCACCCAATAATGAAAATTCTGTCATCGTTTACTCACCGTTGTTTCTGAGTTTCTTTTTTTCTGTTGAACACAAAAGAAGATGTTTTGAAGAATGATGTAAACCTGTAATCATTGATAGTATTTGTTTGTCCAACTATGGGGGTCAGTGGTTACAGGATTTCAGCTTTCTTCGAAATATCTACCTTTGTGTTCAACATTTAATTCAAGTTTACTTGTACAGCGCTTTTTACTTTAATTATTCTTTCAAAGCAGCTTTAAAAAAGGGTGCACATTACAGTATTATAATCAAATTCAGAAAAAGTTAAGGTTATTAGTTACCATAACTTTATTATAACTAATTAACTAACTAATATATTTTAACTGTTAAAGTTATTATATAATAGCATAGTTAGCCTGCAGTTATCCGCTTGTTAAGTGTGACGTCACGCGAAGCGGCTTCCGGGTTCAAGCGCTCTATTCAACTGAATAGGGAGATTCATGAAATGGTAATAATAAACGTTTACAAAGCGATTTAATACTTTTGAAAATCACGATCGCAGTATATATGTCAATGCCTAATATCCGATGGACAGAAAGTCACAAATTTTTTATGAATTGTAAAATTTTTGGTATTTGTTATGCAGCAAGCCCAGAGATAGTTGTGTACACTATGATTTAATATAAAATTAACTTTAATGTGTGATAGGAATAAAACGTGATGATAAACGAATGATTTCTCCACTCAAATGAATGGCGGCTTGGACCCGGAAACAGTATTACATACGTCACCACTTAACAAGCGGATAGGTGATGTCTATAGCCCCTTTCACACAGTGATAGCGGTAAATATCTGGAAAATTTCCGGAACGACTTTACCGGTATATTCAAAAAAAGCTTTGTTCACACAGGCGAGGACGTTACGGAAATTTTCTGGAAAAGAGCATTCACACATCCATTCCAAAATACCGGTAAATTCTGACATCATTCACCACAAATGAGCTTTAAACGCTGCACTTGTATTTGTAAATTGTAAATTATACATTTGACTAAATTACAAACTCTGTGGATGATCAATATTGTGAACAACTTTCGCAGGATCACTTTCGCATGTCGAGATGTTCATAATATGTGCGTTTGCAGGCACAGGCACACGCAAAGCTTAAAGGTAAACAAACTACGGCTTATCATAAGCATCTAATCGATGATTATTTACACGGTTGGCATTAAGAAGAACATATAAACGTGATCTGACTAACTTCTAGCAGCTAAATGCGTCTGGAAAAATATTCAAAGGCTTTTATTCTCATAAACCGCGCAGACGTAAATGCGTCTGACTGTTGTGATTGGCTAAAGCAGACGTCTCACGTCAGAACGTTCTAGACGTGCACGCGCTTATTACGGTAATCTTCCTACTGCATTCACACAGCGCAGCATTCCGGCAAATTGCCGGTAATGTTACAACTTCTCTTTCCGGAAAATAGCCAGAACGAATTTACCGGCATTTTCAAAAAGGACCTGTTCACACAAACAACCTTTCCTGTATGTGTCTGTATGTATGAAAGGGGCTTATGTGTACATGTTCAGTAAAATTCAGAATAAAGCAACACATGAATGTTTGGCACCACTTGAGGGAGCGCAAATAGTGAGTAAATGTTCATTTTTAGGTGAGCTATCCCTTTAAAACTCTGATTTCCACTCCTCTTTTGCTGTGTCTGGCGTACCTGCCCTCTCCATCTCTGCAGTTGGGGCAGGAACAGGCCACCCTGCGCAGCCTCTTGCTGGGTTGACCCTCCTGATCGGACGGGCTCTGGACCTGCCCCATCTGCTCAGGACTCACAGCGTTGCTGATGTTCCCAACGGTCACCGTCACTGGAGCGGACTGAACTTTGACCCCATCCTGACCCTGCTGTTGACCTGTGGGGAGGATCCAGAAACAGCCACTGCTGATTACATCACTCTATGACCAGCAGACAGAAAAAATACTCAGCACAAGGACGTTAATGGATGTGGAATCAATTTTAGGATACAAAAGAAAAATCACTAGGTGTCATTTACAGCAGGGGTGGCCAAGCTTTTTCATATGAAGGGCCAAAAACCAAACTTGAGTGAGGCTAGCGGGCCGAAGGTTAATATAGTTATCATTGGTAATTTCCTCCTTTATTTATTAATATTTAAAAATAACTAGAAAACACTGCTTTATATTAAATAATACAGCTTCTTTTACATTTTATAATTAACTTATTACAGTAAAAACAAATCACACTTATAACAGAATGGAGATACTCTAGTTTTTGCCTTGATTTGCACGCTGATGTCTTCTGCATAGTCCTCTCTACCCATCGAGTGGCAGTATTTACATTTTTAAAATCTGATTAATTTACAACTTTAATTAAAAGCTTTAATTTCAGTTTGCTTTTTTTGTAGCTCAGCAATAAAACAAACAAATAAACAAAAAAAGGTTACGTCAAATTAGAAATAATGATCTCTTTTAAAGGCCTCCGCCCCAGCCCTCTCCATCATTCTGGGATGTTGGGCCAAATTGAATGTTAGAATGGGCCAACTTTGAGCATCTTAATAGATTTAGAGCTCAATAGTTAATAGTTAATAGTGGAGTTAAATGCATTTCTAGAAGAATCCGACCAAATGAATTGCTGGAGTAAACTTGCAAAGGCAAATAACAAAGAGTTTGAAATCTGACACTTCAAGAAGGATTTGGAAATAACATTCAGACTCTGACTCATACTAAATAAACGCCTTCATTTGCTGATTTACTTCATGAGAAATACAAAGTTGATGGAAAACAACTGCATTTCATGCTACTGTTCCAGTCCCTGTTTGGGGAGAATAGTTAAAATTTCAAATTAAATATCAAAATTAAATAGTTATAATAAAAATTATGTTTACATATTTAACCATTTTTAATATATGAGTAACAGTATATTGGTAATTGCTGAAAACATATCATATTTAGATTATATTTGACCAAAAAAATTAAGCAAAGTAAAAAATTGTATTTGAATGAGGCCAAGTTTTCTAACCACTATACTGTAATGCTCAATAGCATTTTTTAAGCACCCTCCCCAAAGAAAAAATATTTTTAAAATGTTTAAAAAAATATGATTTATTCAAGTATTTTTTTTGATTGATAACATATTTAAAATCTACGATAATTCTACACCAAATCATCCTAATGTTTGTCCAGTTTTAATGTAGTTGTGCTGCTATAAATGCAACATTTAAGTAACATTTGGAATATGAATATTCTTTTAAATAAATAACCATGTATAATATAATCTAATATTTTAGAAACAAAAAAATTCTATTTAAGAATTATTTTTATTTGTTAACATATTTAAAATGTACAGTATTTCAACAGCAAACCATCCTAATGTTTGTCCAGTTTTAATGTAGTTGTGCTTATGTACATGCAATAATTTTCAATATATTTTTTTACATTTTTAATTGCATTACCATTTGCAATATGGATATTAGTTTTTATAAATATCCATTTATAATATCCAATAATAATAATTCCTTACATGTATATAACGCATTGACACATTTTTGGAGGGAATCTCCATATCCACCACCAGTGTGCAGCATCCACCTGGATGATGTGACAGCAGTCACACACCACACACCAGCTTATTGGTGGAGAGCCAATTCTAATATGGGGATGGTTAAGAGGCAATGATGGACAGTGGGCAAATTTGGCCAGGATGCCAGGGTTAAACCTTGAAGGACATCCTAGGATTTTTAACGACCACAGAGTCGGGACCTCGGTTTAACGTCTCATCCGAAAGACAGCAGTATAGAGAGTCCCCCTTCACTATACTGGGGCATTAGGACCCACCACTTCCAGCAGCAACCTAGCTTTCCCATGTGGTCTCCCATCCAGGTACTGACCAGGCGCAGCCCTGCTTAGCGTCAGTGGGCGACCATGTGAGAGTTGCAGAGAGCTAGCAGCCGGCTAAAATCACCTCTGAGAGTAAAGCCTGGTTTATACTTCTGCATCAAGTGACCGGCGTAACTCACCGTGCAGGCAACGCGCGTGGCTGTGCATTTATACTTCTGCACGCTGTCTCTGTTGGTCTGCATTAACACTTCCGAAACGCTAGTGGGCAGTAAGGTGTAAATGTTCCTCTGTGTCGAGTTTCTTCGCTTCTGTTTTGCTTCTCCTGAACACTTCCTGGATGTACAAGTGGCTCAAACTCGCTCATTTTGAGGCAGGAACCGGCGGACGTGCAACAACTTTAACCATGAGGTAAACACAGAACAAAACTTTCCATCCGGAGCTCCTTCACGGGACTCCACACTTGTAAACAATCGCTCACGCCATTCGCGCGGCTCTCAGTCCCGCCCAGACTCGTCGGCGCTAGCAAGCCGACCAATCACAGAGCTTGCGCTACGCGGTTGCGACGTGTAGTTAAATTTTTTGAGAGGTGCACGTCAGTGATGCCGATGGCCACGGCGAAGGGCTATGCGTCAGCGCCGTAGCATACGCCGGCGTTTGATGCAGAAGTATAAATCAGCCTTATATAAAATATCGAAAATAAATAAACGAATCTCAAAAACATGCTTCACTGTCATTCTGTATACGCAAAAACAGTCCTAAAAAGGATTAATTTGCTTGCATATATGACCAAACACACACCTCGATTAAACATGAATCAAACATCAACTCCAGCCCTCCTGCTTTACATGAATACACAACTACCCTCTTCCGCAGGACTCCTGGAGGGTCTTACCTTGTACACCGGTGATGGTGAGCGGGACGCCCTGCACCTGCACTCCAGCCGCCCCCAGACCGGCAATGTTGACCGTCTGCACCCCTGAGCCCGCGGGCAGCTGCGCGGCGCTGAGCGTGATAGGTGAGCCTCCGAGCGTCAGCGGAGCAATCTGAGCAAACGTCCCACCGCCTGCGCTGGACGCCACCGGGGCGAGCGTCAGCTGCTGGGGCATGCCTGCGTTCTGCACCTGCACCGTCTGCCAGCTGATCTGCCCCGACGGCGTGAGCGTGGGCGTCCGGATCAGCACCTGCGCCGGGTTCTGGAAGGCCTGCAGCTGGAGGTTTTGCTGGACCGGCTGTAAAGTCTGCCCGGGCTGGATCTGTATGGAGCCCTGCACCACCTGCTGCTGCGGAGACTGGATCTGGATCTGCTGGAGCACCGGGTGGCCCACGATCTGGAACTGCTGGATTTGTCCGGCCTGCTCAGATGTGGATTGGAGGCCGTTGGATTGGGTTAAATCTGCTTCATTATCCTTTGGGCTCTCGGCGGACACCATGGACGTCGTAGATAGTCCATCAGCTGAAGTCACGACGACCGAATCGCTTCCTGTGGCGGTCGTGGTGGAGGTCGAACTCCCTGTGGAATCTGCTGTGCTTGTTGTGACCGTCGTGATCAGCTGGTTTCCATTGGAGATGCTGCCATCGCTGGATTGGAGAAGCTGAACAGAACCGCCGGCTCCTGCTACGTTATTGATCACCGGCAGAGCCAAAGTCACGCCGCCGAGGTTTATGGGTAATGTAGTCACCATTGGTGCTTGCGTACCCTGAATGGTCTGGAGCTGCAGAGGAAATGACGGCCTGATCTGAAGCGGGATGGTCTGGTTTTGGACGATGCTGGCGGATCCCGTCCTCTGTGGCGTGGCCAGAATGGCTTGGTTGTTTCCGGTGGAAATGAGCTGGATCTGTTCGGGCTGAACGCTTAAGGCTGCGGGGTTGCTGGGGCTTATTTGGATCTGCTGTCCGTCAGCGGTTTGAAGATGCGGGATGACCTGATACTGAATCCCGCCGGACGAGTTGGGCAGGTTCTGCACCTGTATGATCTGAAACTGCTGCTGCGCTGCATTATTAGAGCCGACGGCCTTGACTTTCCGGCCGGCTGCGGCTTCGCTGGACGCTGCATTAGCGCCAGCCTGTTGAATGCTGTCCTTGGTTGCGGTTGCAGGGGAGGTGGCGATGATCTGCCAGCCGTTTCCGGTGAGCTGTGCCGGGACCAGCTCCAGCTGCTGTGTGGGGTTCTGCAGCTGAAGCAGACCTTGGCTCGGGTCGATTATTATCTGCTGTTGTGCAGCCGCCTGACCCTCAGCGCCAACACCTCCGATTTTACTGCACGTCGCTGCAAGCAATGCAAGAGGAGACGGCTGTGCATCCTACACACACACACACACAAACAGCGAGATGTCAGTGTCAGCACATGTGGGCGGGTTCACAGGAAGAGTAAGTGTGTGTGTGCGTACGTGTGTGTGCACCACAGCCTCTCCATTTCCCGATTAAGGGCTCAAGAGAAACTCTTCATGACAAATATGGAAATAATTCAGAGGCTCTTGTGTTAAAGCTATCTTATAATTGAGTGTTGTTAAAGCATTCTTGTATTTCCTGTTACCAGACAGCCTGTACAAGGTTACATCTTGAGATACCTTTTGTGATGTCTGCAAGAATCTCTTATTAATACTGTAAACACACACACACACACATATAAAGTACTGAGGGTTGTAAAACGTCTGAAATCACCAGTGAATCACTATTACAGATAATACTTCAGATGATATATGTTTGCTGTAGTCGGCAGCACTGGAGTCATCATGAAAACTTTTACTTAATTAATTAGTTATATATATTTGAGTGAAAACGTATATTTTGCTTGTATTTGCTGGTATTATTACTATTATATTAAAGCAGCACTGATGCTGACATGAACAAACATTAAGTATCATTTTCATATTTATTAATGTTATGTATATCACATTAGATTACAAATTACACCTAACATGAAAAGGTAAAAATAAAAAACACATTTTGTTTATATTATTTGCTTAAACCACAGCAAAACGTCTTACTGTAATCACGTATTTACATGTATATATATATATTTATCTATATGTTTCATATTTTCAAATGGTTCATACATTTTTGTTTTAATGACTGATGACATAAACAAAACATTGTTCTCTTGTTATATTTACTAAATGATGCTTACTATATAATCTTTATTTTATATACACACACACACACACACACACACAAACACACACATTTACACACACATATATATATATATATATATATATATATATATATATATATATATATATATATATATATATATATATATATATATATATGTTCATATTTTTAATAGGAAGCTTTACAATATAATATGTGTGCATATATATTAGATTAGGCAGTACTGAAGCCAAATCTGAAGCTTATCTGACAAAATAACTTACGATAATGGTCCAAAAACTAGATTAAGTCAGGACTAGGCCTTAGTTAAATAAGGTTGTTTAAGACACATTTATGAAAATGGCCTTAGAAAAATATTACTGGTGTGCACCTGGAGACAAAAAAATGACACTGACATATTTTAAGACATCTCACCACAAGTTATTCTGAGTTGAGACAGCTCAAACATGAACTTTAATCCTGACTAGCCTTAAACCTTGTTTGTGAAACCGGGGGTCAATGTTATATAAAAATATTAAATACAAATTGTACAAAAGAGGAAAAATCAAGAGAAGCTTAAAAAAAAATTGTTGAAATTTTGTAGTTTGTAATTCTTTTTTGCAATATTTTGCTGGAATTTAATTGTATTATCATTTAATATCTAAATAAGTTTGGTGTCTAAAATATTATTTTAATAACTATATCTGTTTAATAAATCTGTTTAGTGTAAATGCACCAAAATAGATTGCCTATATTCTAGATTACATATATAGTATATTTAGCTTTGCACAAAATGTAAACAAATATTAAATGTAATTTAATTACTTAAATAACTGTTATTAATATACATTTTTATAATGTTCACTTTGTTGTCACAAATTTGGTTACATTTAATTAGTGAACAAAAACCAGCCCAGTTTCCTAAATGTTTGTTCTTTATTTGGTTCTTTGTCAGTTTTCAGATGTCAAAACCAAAAAAATATAGCTTCAGACTTTTGGACTCCGCAAGTAAAGTAAACATTATTATTGTCTTTTATATAAACATGTTTTTTAATAGTTTTTACATTTTTGTTTTAATGACTTCTGACATGAACAAAACATTTTTCTTCTGTTATATTTACTAAATTATGCTTACTATATATAAACTTCATTATATCTATCTATCTATCTATCTATCTATCTATCTATCTATCTATCTATCTATATATATATATATATATATATATATATAGATATATATATATAGATATATATTTAGCATAGAGAAGATTTCTTCAACACATTTCTAAACATAATAGTTTTAATAACTCATCTCTAATAACTGATTTATTTTATCTTTTCCATGATGACAGTAAATAATATTAGATTAGATATTCTTAAAGACTCTTCTATACAGCTTAAAGTGACATTTAAAGGCTTAACTTGGTTAACTAGGTGAACTAGGCAGGTTAGGATAATTAGGCAAGTTATTGTATAACAATGGTTTGTTCTGTAGACTATCGAAAAAAATATATAGCTAGAAGGGGCTAATAATATTGACCTTAAAATGGATTTAAAAAAATAAGAACTGCTTTTATTCTAGCTGAAATAAAACAAATAAGACTTTCTCCAGAAGAAAAAATATTATCAGACATACTGTGAAATTTTCCTTGCTCTGTTAAACATCATTTAGGAAATATTTTAAAAAGAAATAAAATTTAAGGGGGGCTAATATATATATATATATATATAGACACACACACACGTTTCTTAAATGTTTGTTCTTCATTCGGTACTTTGTCTTTGTCAGTTTTCAGACGTCAAAACAAAACAATATGGCTTCAGACTTTTGGACTCCTCTGTGTGTTAGTGCAAATTGATTATAATGATATATTTGTTCAGTTTCTGAAGTGCTAAAGATTAAAAGTGTTACCCAACACAGTTCACCAATGTTTTATCAAACTCAAACAGCAGTTTTAGACAGGAACAGTGTGTATGCGTGTAACTGTGCACCGAAGAGCCCTGCAATAATCAGGAAGTGCTGTCTTTCAGTTGCAGAAACAAGTGGGCACCACAAAACCCCATTCAACCCAAACTTCACACATCTGATACCTGTGATCCAGAAGTTTTCCCTTTCGTACCCCCATCACCTCCACTGGCTTTCCCCCCATCAGTGGCCATGGCTTCCTTCTTTTGATCTGCAACAACAACAAAAAAGTCAACCCTAAAACATCTGGATGAATTTAATGCCACACATTACACTTGCACCACAAACACACACACACACACACACACAAGGGTCGGGTTTTGTAATGCAAAAGAGTCTAAACACATCAAGCAGGGCTTCCTGTCGCTCACAGGCATTGCACAAGAGCCAAAAGTGATCAATGGGCGCAAATAAACAGCAGATCGCATATGAAAGTGGGGGGACAGCGATGGATAGATGGCACAGACGCACGCATGGAGAATTAAGGGGTGGAGACGCATAAGGAGGGGAGGGTACGTACCACTCATTCCGCATTAATAAAACCCGGAGAGGAGTTGTTTAAGAGAAAAAAGGCCGGACGCCGTGGAAGGCAGGCAGAAGGCAGGCAAAAGCCCAGAAGAAGGACGGCCTATTTTCTCCAGCGGCCGCGGACTGTGGCGCAGCTCTGACGCACGGACCCACCCCGCCAGGAAGGGCGGTGCCAATGCAAAAACACCCTTCAATAACGGAGCACAAAATGCCAAGAGGGTCCGAGCAGGTCGGCTTGAAGAGCGGCGGTCCCGTACGCGTTCAAAGCGGGCCCAAATGTGCTGCTGAATCCGGAATTAAATAATGTTCCTCCGCGGAAATATGTGCAGGTCTGTCAGAGATCTCCGTCTGCGCGAAGGCCCACCCACTCCCATTTAAATATCTATGAATGCCAAAACCATCATGTTCAGTGTTCGCTCTCCCTTTCTCTCCGCTCTTTTTTGTGCGTGTGAGGATATTCGTCGGGAATTCACTCACACGACATTTCTCCGAAATTCACTTTTTTGATGCACAATTGCATTTGAGGCACACTAAAATTGCTGTGGCTTTTGTGGGCGGATGTTCCCCTCCCACTTATTCAGATTGGATGGTGGGCGTGATGACGTTTGGGGCTTGTAGTTTTATGAGTAGCTCAAGTCCTTTGGATTTCACACGTTGTGGACTACCGCTCCCATGATGCTCGGCGCCACAGAGAGTGACGTTTCGTTAGGGGGTGTTATCACGTTCGGTTGTTCGGAATGAAGAAGGGCGGGCTCTTGTGGTATGTGGGGGTTGGGCGAATGGAAACGGGTGGAGAAACACGAACCACCGGCCCAGTTCGGCTTCACGAGCGCACGGCCCACTCACTAACACACGCCCTGAACTTCTGTCACGATTACAGAGCGTGATAACCATGAATACATACACGCCGTTATGATACATGTACAGTAGCCGCTAAGTGCGTCGCGATTTTGAACGTGGCTGCACCTCACAGGCTTCAACAAGTATTCAGACACTTCTGTCCCACTTAAAACATGCGTGAATGTCACTGTATTACATAACAAAATTAAATCATGTGGCGTTATTTTTTAGCAAGCAAAATGTTTAACATAAATACATGTATTAGCTTCTAAATAGAGGACGGAGCTTTCAAAACAGACATATAAATATCAACAAAACAGCAGACAGTTGACTGAGGTAAAGTTAGGTTGTTCTACTTTCACACTTTCAGAGTTTGTCCTATAATATATCAATTCTGCAAAGGATTATTAGCGAATTCTAAATAGGCAAATCATATTAGCAGTCGAAGACTATCAAAAGTAGGTCTACAACATTGTTTACAGTCAATAGTGCTAATGTTCTAATGTCATACTTACAGTAGGCCTACAGAATATTCAAATGAACATGGTAAACAGTATGGGAGTTTTAAAATGAACGAATGTGCTAATATAAACCAACTTTACCTCAATACACGAGAAGGTTCTAGCTGCAGACCTGGTGCAGTGCAATCTGGGCTGCATCCAATGCATTTTAATGGGCTCACCTAAACCCACCCCTAACCCTACGCGTCACAGTGACGTCACTAGCTCCATTTGAGTGCATTGTGTCTGACATTGCATCGCGATGCAGTCTCAGCTTACACCATAAAGGCTGCATCCAGATACTATTGGAATACACACGTGCATTGCTTTCTAATAGCTAATAGGCTAAATCTCTGCGATAAACTGAATGTTACGTTTCTCATCTGTAAGTCACTTTGGGTATAAGTGTCTGCTGAATTATTAGATGTAAATCTTATAATGATGAAAAACCAGTTGAGCAAACAGCTTGATTTGAGCTCGACTGACACTTGTTGCAATGACTTATAGGTGATTTGAGAAAGGTTTAATGTAGTGTTTCAGGTAGCTTTGCTGTTTCTTTCTGTCAGGCTCTACAAAAATATCACACACAATTATTATTTGTGAATGTAAATATGATTTCCTAGTGACACAGAAAACCAAAAAAGATAGAAATAACTGATTTAAAACAAAGTTTGTTGGTGAAAATACAAGTGGTATAACTAAAATACTGAATAAAGTACTGTGCAAAATAATTAGGCTACCATAGTACATAGTTTGGTGATGATATAATGGACATGTCTTATTATTTGCCATGAAATGGCCTCCACAGTGTCCTGACCTGAATATTATAGAAGTACTATGAGACACAGAAGGAAATATCTCACAGCCTAAATCTAAAGGACACTGGAAAGTGCTGAAACCCATTACAGAGCACATTATATTCAGAAGTGTAACTAAAATACTTGGCACTTTATATAAAGTACTTGGCAAAACATTTAGGCCACCATTACATTGTTTTAGTGATGCTATAATGACCATATATAGGCAGCACGGTGGTGCAGTGGGTAGCACAATCGCCTCACAACAAGAAGGTAGCTGGTTTGAGCCCCGGCTCAGTTGGGATTTCTGTGTGGAGTTTGCATGTTCTCCCCGTGCTTGTGTGGGTTTCCTCCAGATGCTCCGGTTTTCCTCACAAGTCCAAAAACGTGGTGTAGGTGAATTGGGTAAGATAAAATTGTCCGTATTGTATGAGTGTGTATGGATGTTCCCTAGAGATGGGTTGCAGCTGGAAGGGCATCATCCGCTGTGTAAAACATATGCTGGATAAGTGGCGGTTCATTCCTCTGTGGCGACCCAAGATTAATAAAGGGACTAAGCCAAAAAAAAAAAAAAGAAGAAATGACTGAAAACCAAAGAGATAGAAATAACATTGGAATATTGTTGCTGGTGCAAATATTTGTTGCATAAATAAAATATTATATTAAAATATATAACACCATTAATACATTGTTTGGTGACGATATAATGGCCATATATTAATATTTGCTACGGAATGGCCTCCACAGTGTCCTGACCTGAATATTATAGCACCATGAGACAGAAAGAAATATTTGACAGCCTAAATCTAAAGAAGGACACTAAAAAGTGCTGAAACTCAGTACAGAGCACAATATTTTCAGAAAAAAAACTTCAGGAGAGTGTTCAAAACATGCTTAGCGCAAAGGGAAGTCATGTTCAGAGGTATAACTAAAATACTCTGCACTTTATATTAAGTACTGTGCAACACATTTAGGCCACCATTACTTTGTTTTAGTGACGGTATAGTGACCATGTATTATTATTTGTCATGAAATGGCCTACACAGTGTCCTGACCTGAATACTACAGAGGCACTATGAGACAAAGAAAGAAATATTTGACAGGCTAAATCTAAAAAATGACTCTAAAATGTGCTAAAACACTTTACAGAGCACATTATTTTCAGAAAAAAAACTTCAGTAGAGTCTTAATGCAGTTCAAAACATGCTTAGCGCAAAGGGAGGTCATGTTAAACACTGACTTTTGCTTAAATAAATAATTTTGTGCACACATTTCTTATATTTTCCGTTTGTATCTTAATGAAGAAATAAAAATTAAATATGGGTATGTGTAAAGTACTGCAGTCCTAAATACAGATAATATTAAGAGACACTTCTGTTTCTCTGGATTTATTTGTGTTTCACCTTTTACATATACTATCATTTAGACATTTTAGATTTACATTGACCTCATGTGAGCTTCACAGCACTGAGAAAATGCTGAATCAGTGTTCAGACTCACGCTAACAACTCGCACTTTAATTCTGTGCTCTTTATCTTCTGCAGATGATGTGCTCTGAGTCACCGATGCCCTCTGGTGGTTGGGAAAAGCTTCACGCATAAGGCAACAAGTCATCAAGATGATATGGTGAAAATAGTATGAAATATTGAAAAATAATATGAAATATCAGTGTGAGTACAACCCAAACAGTTATTTATTTATTGTATGGGCTTGAATGTTTGCTCTAGCTGCATTAGTCATTTGTGTTAGGAAGATATTAGTAATTGCATCAAGTATTTTTATACTGTATTTATTTATTTGCATTATATCATTTGGATTATAAGTCATTTGCATTAAGTAACTTGTTTGTAATTGATTGCATGTTTGCATAATATAGTTTGCATTATCAGTAATTGAAATTATTAATATTTTATTAATGAACATTTCTGCATTATATAATTTGCATTAACTTAGTAAGATTTTATTGATTAATTTTTTTGCATTATCAAGTCATTAAATGCATTTTCTGCATTGTATAGTTTGCATTATCAGTCATTTTAAATTAGTTATATTTTATTTATTAATCTTTTTGCATAATATGATTAGCATTTTATTCATTTGTATTAGGAAGAAACTGGCAGTTGCATTATTTTATGTTTTATATTGTATTCATTTACTTGCATTTTTAGTCATTCGTATTATTAAATGTTTTTGTAATTAATTGCATTATGTAGTTTGCATTATTAATCATTTAAATTAGTAATATTATATTAATTAATCATTTTGCATTATATAATCTGCAGTCATTGATTTATATTAGGAAGTTTTTTTGTAATTGCATTTTTCGCATTACATAGTTTGCATTATCAGTCATTTAAATTAGAAATATTATATTAATAATGTTTTTACATTATTATTCATTTATATTATGAAGTGTTTTTATAATTAATTGCATTTTCTACATTATATAGTATGCATTATCAGTCATTTAATCTAGTAATATTACATAAATTAATTGTTTTGCAATATATAATTTGCATTATTAGTCATTTGTATTAGGTAGATTTTTATAATTAAATGCATTTGGAAAGAAAGCACTTATTTTTGCTCTTAATTGTGTAAAAGCACTTAATTTGAGTATTAATGTTTACAATTTCTGTCATTTGTTTATGCTTTTGAACTGCATTGGGACACTTTGTCATTGAGATGACTGAAAAAAAAGAGTCCCGACCTACACTCAGGAAAAATACTTGGACTACTTGTTCAAGCTACTTATTTAAAAAGAGCTGAATCAACTTAATTCTCGAGGGTTTTTTTGGGGGGGAGCAAAATGTAATTGTTTTATGTTCACCACACTTAAATTTGCAAAAACGATCAAGTTAACTTAATTGATTTGTGTTGAATCCAGCCTTTTTTTTACAGTGTATCTGAATTGACCACGATGAGACCTAAATCTCCACAAATTTTGCCATTTTTATTGTTTGGAACGATACATTGCAATTATTGTATTGTAAATTATTATACAAACATCAGGGAAATGAGCTGCTATTTTGAACACGTGCGCGCGTTTAATATTGTAGTCTTCAATCAGTCCAGCAGGGGGCAGCAGATGAACTGTAAACCAACTGTAGCTCAGCCTCATTGAGCTCAGCAAACTACTCTAGTCAACTTTGTTTTCCTTTCTCTCTTGCATGTGTAGAACAGCGTCAGATATGTATTCCTGCAATGTTGAGGCGTGTGTGAGCACAGAGTTTTGATCTGTGACTGAATTCCTGCGCATGTGTTTCATCTGAATATCCGTCTGCAGGCGACACTCATGTTTTCCTGTAGGCCAATACAGACTGAATGTGACTGACAGCAAGAGAATGAAGCAAGTGTCACATGAGAAATGCGACAAATGGTCAAATGAATGTGTGCTTTTGGTGACATATCAAGAGACGTATTTAAAGTCATGAGTATGGTGACGCAGGTATTATAACGAGACGGTGACTTATGAGGACATCGCTGGTCATGAGCATGGCAGACATTTTAAAAGTGGAGGGGACAGCTGAATAAGATCCAAAAGTTTATGTTCATATAATTATTGATCACCTGTTTATAAATGGTCTGGCTCTAAAAGTGAGGGAGATTTATTCCCCCCATTGCTACGCCCCTGTCTCTAATGAAAATACAGTTTGTACAGGCCCGTAACCAGCCTGGTGTAAGGGGTGGTTATTTTTTTCCTCAAAAAGTGGACCTTTTTGCAGTTATACCAACACAATCTCACGGCAATTCGTAACTTTTTCATTTAGTGGCTAATTCATATGAATTCGTACAATCTAATTCGTACAATTTAGTACGATTTGCTTATCCCCCAATGACGGTCTCAGTTTCTATTTAACTATGAGATTTAAATAGTGCATTTTAGCGACTTTTTAGCTGGATTAGCTAGTCAGATGTCATCACAACCACACTTTTTGATGTTCTCAAAATATTTCCTAAAAATTGCAGTTAAAAAAAATTCAAACAAGACAAATTTTTAAAATACAAATTTATTACATCATATGTCATTAGGAAAAAGTAGCAATCTGTTAAAGTTTTATAGTTAAAAAAAAATCATTTATTAATTTATTAATAAATAAATATAATAATAATAATAATAATAATAATAATAATACAATAATAATTAATTCTTCAGATTTGTTTCTAGCCTCTTTGTTTAAAAAAAATAAAGCCTTTTTTGATGGATTATTTTCATTATTTATGATGGCATAGCAGTCAAAATAGGATGAAAATAGGACAAATTAGCTCATTTGGGACAAATTCTGAACTCGAGTCACATTATTGTGGCTTTGAGGCTCTATGGGATTCAAATAACTGGCCAGAATTATTTAAAATGACACTTTATTACAATATATATTGAATATAAATATATTATATTAATTATATAATAAATATACAATATTAAAGTACATAAAATAATTAAAAGGACAAATTCTGGACCTTTTGGCCGTGGGGGGGTGGTTCGTTCGAACCACCCGAACCCCCCCTGGCTACGGGCATGTTGTACAGCATTAAAACAGTGGAAGGCTATGGAATGTCCCCACAATTCACAAAAACAAACTTGTGTGTGGGTGCATTTATATAAGTACACTGTAAAAATACCCATTAATTAACAGGTTCTGTATTTAATTCTGTTTATTTATGGTTGTGAATTGCATGAGGGGATGTTGATCTTTGCTCGGTGGACTCCTGTTAGCCAGCACTTAATTTTGGGGATTTACACCTACCTAACTTAAAATAGTATTAATTCCCGATTCCAGTAAGCTACAAACACAAACTAGGTATCACTGGAAAGAAGACACCTTGAGCTTTACTTTGGTAAAAAGA